AATATTATTGGTAATATTACATGTAATATAAATATATAATTATAATATATTATTATTAGTAGTATTATATTGCATTACATTATAATATTTTTATGTTTATGTTGGATAAGCGAAATTCTATTGTATTCATTTATTTTTATTTGCAGCATTTTTACCCCGCCCTTCTCAAACCCCCGGGGAGAGGGGGGGGGGGTGGACTCCGAGCGCCTAACAAAGGCAGCAATTCAATGCCACAATCAATAACACAGTATAAAACCATAAATACATATAGAGTTAAAGCTATTAATTATAACCAAATTATCATAACAGTCATTAAAACAATACTCAGTCCACAAACCTACTGATAGAACCATAAAATTGTATCCTCATACATATCGTCTTGCCAATCCATTTCCAGTCAAAGTGCTGCTTTATGTTTATTGTCCGAAAGCCTGGTCCCAAAACCAAGATTTTAATTTCTTCCTGAACACCAGGAGGGATGGGGTCGATCGTATTTCATTTGGAAGCGCATTCCACAGGCGGGGGGCTACAGCCGAGAAGGCCCTGTCTCTCGTCCCCGCCAGCTGTGTTTACGATGTTGGCGGGAGCGAGAGCAGGGCCTCCCCGGATGATCTTAAATTACGAGGTGGGACGTAGAGGCAGATGCGTTCGGACAAGTAAGCTGTACTCAAGTATAAGCCAACCTGAATATAAGCCAAAGCACCTAATTTTACCACAAAAAACCTGGGAAAACATATTGACTCAAGTATAAGCTGAGATGGGAAATGCAGCAACTACTGGTCAGTTTCAAAATAAAAATAGACCAAATTGAGGCATCCAGCAGTTTGAAAACATGAAAATTTGAGTAGATCAGTAGATAAACAGCACTCCATGCAGTCACGCCGGCCACATGATCAGGAGGTGTCTTTGGACAATGCAGGCTCTTAGAAATTGAGATGAGCACTGCCCCCAGAGCCAGAGATGAAGGGAAAGCCTTTACCTTTATCTTTGGGTCTGTGTTTCATTCTTTCCAGGCATTGAATGCTTGCTTTGTGTCTGTGTAGATGCTGAAATCCGCCCTGAATGTCCTCGAGTGATAGGGCAAAATACAAATAAAGTGTTGTTATTATTATTACTTTTCAGTAATAAAATAAATCCATTCATCCATCAATCAATCAGTCATATCATTTATAACTCACATTTTCCCCAAGAATGGGACTTGAGGTATTCTATTAAAAGAAAACTTTATAATGAAGAGTGTCCTATTTTTTTAAGAACCCTATTTGTGTCAATCAAAGGAAAAAGAGAGCTGGAACAATTTGACAATCAACGCTTGAAGCTTCAGGTGTTTTGCGCGTGGGTGGTGGGCTTGTGGGCAGGTATGATCCTTATTCTTTTCCAAAGCACACGCCAGAGCACGGAACAAGGAATATCACGCGATAATCGTGCGAGTCCCCATTTTCCCTGTGTCGCCTCTCCGATGGAGGCCGACACGAACTCGTATGTAACGTACACCTCCCGTCAGCTGTTTCCTCCTGTATCCCTGACAAGAGCTCCATTCATAACGCTTCCTTTTGTCCTTTCGGTGAATAAGTAATTATTCAATATAGAGAAGGCAGGATATTTGGAACCGGCCATTTAATGTGGCAGCACACCGTAATGAAATCGGCTGTTATTGGCAACCCGAGAGAGGAATGTAACAATTCTAGCGCGGCTGGTAACTCTATCTTCTTTGACGGCCTGTTTATTTGGCACGTCAGCAGACCTTTTATCCCAATGAGTGGCAGCTCCTGAAGGGTTGCATTTACTCCCATTCTATCGCGTATTGTAATATTTAATGGTGGACAAGCTTGAGTGGGACTGAGGGTAATTTGAGCCCCTTTTCCACAGAGCGAAGGCCAAGAGACACTTGATCCCTGGTATTGTGATGTGACGCACACCATGACTTTGCGTTTGCTCACCAAGGATAATCTTACTGGTCACCATTCAGAGGAGGGGTGAAGGAAGAAACGGCAAAGACGACAAGGACACTCTGTTTGGCTCGTGGTGTCACGGTGTCCTTTTTTTACGCTTAAGACCACTTTTGAACATAAGATTGTTATTTGAGCTGTTTTGCAAAGGTTCTGGTTCCTTTGCTTTTGGAGGCCAGCTTTCCTCTTTATATTGAGCCCAAACAGGAACATAAATATGTTTGAAATTGTTTTAATTTCAACATGTGTTTGGGAAGCTGATTTGTCGAATCCAATGGGTGATAGGGTACTCAAAAAATAAAAATGTGTAGTGTACCATAATTCGGTTTCTTTTCATTTCACTAAGAACCGATGTGCCTCACCATCCCATCAACAGACATATTGAATCTCATCCTAAAATATAATTATTGTAAGCAATTATTTATGTATTATGTCAGAAGCAAATTGAGAATACAGTTACAATGTATAGAAAAACCACAAAGTTAAAAACTTGGCATTATACTAAACATCATTTGACCAGTAGCTGGCCACTTGGAGTGCCTCTGGTGTGGCTGTGAGACGGTCTTCCATTGTGCATGTAGCAAGGCTCAGACTGCATTGTAGTAAGTGGTCTGTGGTTTGCTCTTCTCCACAGTCGCATGTCATGGATTCCACTTTGTAGTCCCATTTCTTAAGATTGGCTCCGCATCTCGTGGTGCCAGAACATAGTCTATTTAGTGCCTTCCAAGTCACCCTGTCTTCTGTGTGCCCAGGAAGGAGTCTCTCATCCGGTCTCAGCTACTGATTGGGGTTCCAGGTTTTAGCCTGCCACTTTTGGACTCTCGCTTGCTGAGGTGTTACTGCGAGTATCCCTGTAGATCTTTGAAAACGATTTCTTGATTTAAGTCATTGGTGTGCTAGCTGATATCCGAACAGAGGATGGGCCAGAGATGTCACTGCCTTGGTCCTTTCATTGCTGGCTGCTACTTCCCAGCGGATATCAGGTGGTACAATACCAGCTAAACAGTCCAACGTGACCAGAAGTCATCGTGGATGGCGGCTCTGAATAATGAGTTGGCTGGATTCGGTCTGCCTTTGCAGTTTCTGGGTGTTCTGGGTCTGGGGGCAGGGCAAGTGCTCAAGCGCCGCATTCGGGATGTCTATGCACAGCTGAACCTAGAGAGCATAGGTAGGCCTTCAGCCACAAGATTTTTAGCTTCCCACAAAAGGAATGTTCATTTAGAGCACTACCTAACTATTCCACTTCCACTACCCTTAAGAAGAATATATACTAGGGCTAGGTTTGAACAACTCGGTATTATGATGCAAACCGGGCGTTACTGTAATATCCCAAGAAGTGAGAGATTCTGCATCTGGGGAGAACAAACAGTGGAAGATATTGAACATTTCTTAATCGACTGTCCAGCATATACTGAACTGCGAGACAGATATTTACATCCAGTATTATCCAACTACAGGTCCCCCAACAGAAATGATATCTGACATCCCTCTTGCAAGGGCAGGAAAGATCTAACATAATCAGAGTAAGCCTTTTTATTCTGAAAGCTATTAAGAAAAGAGCAGATTTCCTGAAAGAAGAACCAGGAAAATAAGATTCTGACTATAAATAGAAGGTCAGCTGCTGTCCTCCCCTTGTTTTTTACTCGTGTTCTATTTTGAAATGGTCATATATGGCTGGTCAAATAAATAATAATAATAATAATAATAATAATAATAATTATTATTATTAATACCAGCTACACCTTGTAATTTCTCTAGCGGCACAGGGTGTAGACATCCTGTGATAATGCGGCATATCTCATTAAGAGCCACATCCACTGTTTTAACATGGTGAGATGCATTACAAACTGGGCATGCATATTCAGCAGCAGAGTAGCAAAGCACAACGGAAGATGTTTTCACAGTGTCTGGTTTTGATCTCCAGGTTGTGCCAGTCAGCTTTCATACGATGTTATTTCTAGCACCCACTTTTTGCTTGATATTCAAGCAGTGCTTCTTGAAGATCAGAGAACATCCCAAGTATTTGGGTGTACTGCAATGCTTCAGTAGGATTCCTTCTCAGATAATCTTCGGAGCTCGAGATGCTTGTCTGTTCTTAAGATGGAAACCATGCACCTGTGTTTTAGATAGATTAGGAATCATCTGGTTTTCCCTGTAATAGGCAGTAAGGGCACCTAGAGCTTCGTAGAGCTTCAACCATTTCAAAGCTCCCTGCTTGGGTGGTGATGGCACGATCATCAGTGAAGATGAAATTCCCTGTCCCTTCTGGAAGTGACTGATCATTTGTGTAGATGTTAAACATTGATGGAGTAAGCACACTACCCTGAGGCAGGCTGTTCTGTTTTCGCCATCTGTTTCTCTTGCCCTGGAATTCAACAAAAAAGCTCCTGTTTTGTAGCAAATTTTCTATGAAGCAGGTGGTAGTCCTTTGTGATATTATAAGTTTTTCTCAGGAGAGGGCAATGTTTTACAGTGTCATAAGCTGCTGACAGGTCCATGAAGACAGCTCCTGTAATCTGCTGCCTTTCAAAACAATATTCTATGTGCTGAGTCAGGTTCAACACTTGTGATGTGCAGCTTTTGCTTTTCCTGAAGACAGCTTGCTGTGGAATCATACAAACTTCCAGATGCCAGACATGAAAAAGAGGGAAGCCTTGTCTCCGACTATGTATTTTCTGTCTTTGTTCATTGTACAACGACACTGAAAAAGATGTATTCTGTAATCCGCTCTGAGTCTCCTCAGGGAGATAGAGCAGAATATAAACAGTATATTATTATTATTATTATTATTATTTGCTGGAAAAGGTCAGGTGAAGACTCCAAAAGCAGCACCTCTCCTGGCCAGTGCTAACATAGAAGTCTAAAAAGTTTCATTTAGCACAAACTTTTGTGGACTCCAGTCCATTTAATCAGGTGTGGATGGAACAGATGAAGTAGGATGGAGTCTACTAAAGCTGATGCTAAAGAACTTTTTTTTTGAAGTTTTAAGGTGTTCAAAGACTGGTATTTTGCAGGTGACGTCCTTAATCAGGTTTTCCTCCTTCTTTTCAGCTTTCTGACCCTTGCAATCAGTGTTCCTGTTCTTCTGCAGAGGAAAAAGGCAGAGACACTGCCGATGCAAAGAAGAAAGAAAATGGAGAGAGGCCGTTTATCCCCAAAATATATTTTGGAACCCGGACCCATAAACAGATCGCACAGATCACACGAGAGATGCGGAGGACGGCATATGCTGGTGTCCAGATGACCATTCTTTCTAGTAGGGACCATACCTGTGTCCATCCAACAGTGTCGACTTGTGGCAGCAAGAACGAAAAATGTGTGGAGTTATTGGAAGCCAAAAATGTAAGTTATTGTACTTTTTTGCACAGAATTCATATTTATTTAATGCAGGGGTCCTCAAACTAAGGCCCGGGGGCCGGATAAGGCCCTCCAGGGTCATTTACCCGGCCCTCACTCAGGGTTAACCTAAGTCTGAAACGACTTGAAAACACACAACAACAATTCTATTTCATCAGCCAAAAGCAGGCCCACACTTCCCATTGAAATACTAATAAGTTTATATTTGTTAAAATTGTTTTTCATTTTAATTATTGCATTGTTTTTAAGTGGTTTTTTTGCACTACAGATAAGATATGTGCAGTGTGCATAGGAATTCATTCATTTTTTTTCAAATTATAATCTGGACCTCCAACATTTTGAGGAACTGTGACCTGGCCCTCTGTTAAAAAAGTTTGTGGACCCCTGATTTAAAGCCATGAAAGGTGGGGGACACACAGCCTGAATACGGTGAGTGGGTCCGTAACATGACACCCCCCCCTCCCGGTTTCTGGGGCCTGTTAGAAATAGCAACTCTACTAATTTGTTTGTATATGATTCTGCTTGCTTTCTGTATTGTATACGTATGTTTTGGTATGCAGCTTCCCTTTACTCTATGTTTCTTGAGGTAGTAGGAGGGACTGCGGACCACATGATCACATCTGTGGAATTCCCTCCCGAAGGAAATTAGATCTGCCCCCTCCCTCCTAACCTTTAGGAAGCTAGTGAAAACCTGGCTGTGGAACGAGGCCTTTGCAGAATGATGGGTGAGACTGATAATCGACCAAAGTATTGACTACAATACATGGACTGAATATACAGACTAAGTTGGATATGTATTTTATCTTGGCGAACGGCTTTTTTCGTATTTATTTTATATGTATTGTTAATTTATTGTTGTTATATGTTGTTTTAGATTTTTACTGTTTAGCATTGAATTCTTGCTGCCAGTTGGTCTGAGTCCCTCTACGGAGGTAGAGAAGATCGGGATATAAAAGTTTTAAATAAATAAATAAAATAAATCTGGGACTGTTCAGAGCTCAGACTCTATTTTAGAACACAGAAATGCTTTAGCCATGAGATTCTTTGGACTTCTGACTCCAATATAGACGCCATATAGACGATGGACTGTTAAAAGCAAACTCATATTGCTGTTGATTATAAGAAAGATGCCTTATGTTATCTTTCTGAAACCCTAATTACTGCTCTTCGTGCATAGAGTTTGTCTTTTCTTCAATTGCTTGGTGGTGGGCATGCCCATAACTACTTTATTTTACATTTAACCTTCCCCAAGCCCTTTGGGACTGAACGGGTCTTCTTTCTTGGTCTTTGGCCAGCCCTCTGAACCACAGTGGGATCAATACTAAAGCCAACCTCACTGGCAGACCCCAAGTGGAGTTCATCATCACTGCTGCTGGCAAACTCCCTTTCCTTTTCTCTTGTTTTCGAGCAACTTTTGGCCTTGACAAGTGCAAACAAGGTGTGAAGTCTGCCTGCCCTCCCTTCTTCAGACCCAGAGGGTAAACCGCAGTGGTAATGAGGACACATTAACACTGTCATGTTCATTGTTCTCATTATCCTCCTTTCACCATGAGACCATATTGCAAAAAGCTGGCTGATAAACGGATTGTTGACAATTTGTGAGGGAAGAGGGCCCTGAGCGTGATAACACTTCAATTGCCAGTCTCCCCTTTGGGTTGTGTTACAGGCTTAACATGGAGTGGCTTTTCTTTTCTCCTTATCAGCCTCCATGTGTTCAGGAAGCCCTAGAGAGCTTCCAAGTGGTATTCGTTTCAAGGACTTCTGATTTTCCTTTAAATGGCTATTGTGAGAGGTGTCACCTTGTTTTATTATGTGGCACCTCTCACAATAACCATTTAAAAGGGAAATCAGAGTCAGAAGAAGTCCTTGAAACCAGTCCAAATAAAGAAACATAACAGGTAGCACATTATAGATGAACATGGGAATGTTACGTCAACTCCACTGGCTGCTAGTGTGCTACCGAGCACAATTCAAAGTGCTGGTTTTAGCCTATAAAGCCCTAAATGGTTCTGGCCCAGCTGACCTATCCGAACACATCTCCCTCTATGAACCATCTTGGAAATTAAGATCTTCTGGGGAGGCCCTGCTCTTGGTCCTGCCTCCTTCCCAGGTGCAGTTGGTGGGGACAAGAGACAGGGTCTTCTCAGTGGTGGCCCCTCAGCTGTGGAACTCCCTCCATAGTGACATCAGATTAGCCCCCTCCCTCCTGACCTTTAGGGAAAAAAACCCTGAAAACTTGGATGTGGGACCAAGCTTATGGATAATTGATTGATACAATATGTGAACATGGAATGGTGCAATGGTAACTGGAATGGCCTGGACTACGATATTGGATTATGTGATTTTAATCATTTTAATTTTTATAGGTTTTTAGTGGGGGGGTTTTTTCATGTCAGGAGCGACTTGAGAAACTGCAAGTAGCTTCTGGTGTGAGGGAATTGGTCGTCTGCAAGGACGTTGCCCAGGGGATGCCTGAATGTTTGGTGTTTTACCATCCTTGTGGGAGGCTTCTCTCACGTCCCCGCATGGAGAGCTGGAGCTGACAGAGGGAGCTCAACCTGCTCTTCCCAGATTCAAACCACTAGCCTGTCGGTCAGCAGTCCTGCTGGCACAAAGGTTTAACCCATTGCACCACTGGGGGCTCCAAGGTGGACATGTAATAATAATAATAATTAGAGTAAAATAATACATGTAATAAAAAAAATAATAGAGTAAAATAATACATGTAATAATAACAGTAATAATATAGTAAAATAATGTAAATATAATAATAATATAGTAAAATAATGTAAATATAATAATAATATAGTAAAATAATGTTACTGTAATAATAATAATAATAATAATAAAATAATAATAATAATAATAATAGTGTAAAACAAAATAAATGTAATTGGCCGTCTGCAACGACATTGCCCAAGGGACACCTGGATGTTCGATGCTTTACCATCATTGTGGGAGGCTTCCCTCATGTCCCCGCATGGGGAGTTGGAGTTGACAGAGGGAGCTCAGCCCGCTCTCCCTGGATTCAAACTGCTGACCTGTTGGTCAACAGTCCTCCCAGCACAAGGGTTTAACCCATTGCACCACCGGGGGCTCTTTTTAGCGGGTATTTTAATGTATATGTTTTTATTTGCTGGATATGTATTGTATGTAATGTATGGCATCAAAATGTGCTTTTATGTGCGCCATTTTGAGTCCCCTTTGGGATTGAGAAGTGCGGTGTGTGTGTATATATATATGGCAAATAAATAAATCAACAAATAAATCATAAATAAACCATAATTTCCAATTAAATTTACGTTGGCCCAAAATATTTGATTTCTGGTGTCTTCCCAAAAATACAAATTTACAAAATTATTTCTGATCTGGCATTGTTTTTTGTTTTACAGGAAAAATGTCTTTTGATAGCAACCTACTCTTCTTTTATATTTTACTCTTAATATTTGAAATGGTTTAAATTCTAAGAGGTGCTGTGTTAATCATAGGTTTCAAATTCATTAACCACAGATGTGTTTATTTGTCATTGTTATTTTTTTGTAAGCCAGTTTTTTTTTGGCGGGGGTGGGGAGTGGGATATAAATAAGTAATGGAACAGGATGGAGTGAAATATATGTGTCAAAATTGGTTCTTTCCAGGGTACATCTTGTTCTTTCTACCATGGAGCCCATAAGCTGAGTGAGCACCACCTCTTTCAGTTTGCCCAAAGGAAATACCAAACCTGGGACATAGAAGATCTAGTGCGCCTGGGAAAGAAGCTCCGAGCGTGTCCTTATTTTGCTGCTCGGGAACTTATGGGGCCAGCGGACATTGTCTTTTGTCCTTACAATTACCTTTTAGACCCGCAAATAAGAGAAAGTGTGAGTATATTGCAGAGCAAGCTGAATTTGCTTCCATTAATTAAAGAAATGCTGTTTGATTATAGTATAGTTTACTGACATTTGCCACTAAACCCCTTAAAATTAGTGAATTAGATTTCAAATAAATATTAAACAAGGAAATAATCCATTAATGCTAGCTTATGCCAACCACCAAAAGATAGACAATTCCCCATGTATTTGATTGCAAATATTTTTGCTGGCTTTATGAAGTTGAAGATGATATCTGGGCATTTTTTTATGGCAGATGGAAATTAATTTGAAGGACCAGGTGGTCATTTTGGATGAAGCTCACAACATTGAGGACTGTGCCCGCGAATCAGCCAGCTTCAGTGTGACAGAAGCTCAGCTCCAAATGGCTAGAGAAGAGCTGGACGCCATGGTCAACAACAACATCAGGAAACAGGACCATGAGCCATTGCGTGCCGTGTGCTACAGTCTGACAAAGTAAGAGATAGAAAATTCAGCTATTTAATCCGGCTATTTAATAAGGATGTCCAACTCTGATTCAACCATTATTCAAACCTCCTTCAATGTAAATGTGCTTCCTATCCTTCCAATAATAATAGAGTAAAATAATAAATGTAATAATAATAATAATAATAGAGTAAAATAAAGGAAATGTAATAATCTATATAAATAAAAACGTAATGTTCGTTTGTGGGAGTAACATAACTCAAAAACCACTGTAGGATTTGACACCAAATTTGGACAGCATATACCTAACAACCCAATGTATGTCCTTCACTCAAAAATATTGATTTTGTTATTTGGGAGTTGTAGTTGCTGGGATTTATAGTTCACGTAAATCAAAGAACATTCTTAACTTCACCAATGATTGAATTGAACCAAACTTTGCACACAGAACTCCCATGACCAATAGGAAACACTAGAAGGGTTTGGTGGGCATTGACCTTGAGTTTGGGAGATGTAGTTCACCTACATCCAGAGAGTCCAACAATGATGGATCTGTACCAAACTTGGCACAAATACTAAATATGCTGAAATATGAACACTGATGGAGTTTGGGGGGAATAGACCTTGACATTTGGGTGTTGTAGTTGCTGGGATTTATAGTTCACCTACAATCAAAGGCATCCCAAGCCACCTTGTCTCTCTCCTGAGGAATCTGTACAAGGACCAAGTAGCAACAGTCAGAACTGACCACGGAACAACAGACTGGTTCAAGATTGGGAAAGGCGTATGGCAAGGCTGCATACTCTCACCCAACCTTTTAACTTGTATGCAGAACACATCATGCGATGTGCGGGGCTTGATGAATGCAAAGCTGGGGTGAAAATTGCTGGAAGAAACATTAACAACCTCAGATATGCAGATTACCCCACTCTGATGGCCGAAAGCGAGGAGGAGCTGAGGAGCCTTCTAATCAAGGTGAAAGAAGAAAGCGCAAAAGCCGGGTTGCAGCTAAACGTCAAAAAAACCAAGATTATGGCAACAAGAATGATTGACAACTGGAAAATAGAGGGAGAAACCGGGAGGCCGTGACAGACTTTGTATTTCTAGGTGCAAAGATTACTGCAGATGCAGACTGTAGCCAGGAAATCAGAAGACGCTTACTTCTTGGGAGGAGAGCAATGTCCAGTCTCGATAAAATAGTGAACAGTAGAGACATCAGACTGACAACAAAGATCCGCCTAGTCAAAGCCATGGTATTCCCTGTAGTCACCTACGGATGTGAGAGCTGGACCTTAGGGAAGGCTGAGCGAAGGAAGATCGATGCTTTTGAGCTGTGGTGTTGGAGGAAAGTGCTGAGAGTGCCTTGGACTGCGAGAAGATCCAACCAGTCCATCCTCCAGGAAATAAAGCCCGACTGCTCACTGGAGGGAAAGATACTACAGACAAAGTTGAAGTACTTTGGCCACATCATGAGGAGACAGGAAAGCCTAGAGAAGACAATTATGCTGGGAAAGTGGAAGGCAAAAGGAAGAGGGGCCGACCAAGGGCAAGATGGATGGATGGCAGCCTTGAAGTGACTGGACTGACCTTGAGGGAGCTGGGGGTGGTAACGGCCGACAGGGAGCTCTGGCGTAGGCTGGTCCATGAGGTCACGAAGAGTCGGAGACGACTGAACGAATGAACAACACAATCAAAGAGCATTCTGAACCCTACAAATGACAGAATTGGGGCAGACTTCCCACACAGAACCCCCACGACCAACAGAAAATACTTAAGGCCATCAAATCCAACTCACTTCACCGGGGCAAGAAAACGTAATCAAAGCCCTCCTGACAAAGAGCCATCCAGCCATATATAAAAATAGATATATATGATTCACACACACACAGATATAGTATCATAGATTGGAAAGGGACCCTAAAGAAGGATATGTTGCATGTTCCAGAGTAGGCAAACCAGACAATCCACATCAACACAGACAAAGAAATAGCAAGAAATACTGTTTACCCACAAGCAGAAAGAAATTAAATATATTAGAAACCAACACTTTCTCATTACTTTATTTTCCAGATCACCAGACTGGGCCACAGCAACGTGTGGCAGGGGATGGCTAGTAACAGTAATAATAGAGTAAAATAATAAATGTAATAATAGAGTAAAATTATAAATGAAATAATAATAAAGTTAAATTATAAATGTAATAATAATAATAATAAATAGAGTAAAATAATAAATGTAACAACAGAGTAAAATAATAAATAATCTTGACTCGACTATAAGCCGAGAGGGGCTTTTTCAGCCTAAAAACAGGGTTGAAAAACTAGGTTTATATTTGAGTATATGCAGTATATTAATCATTAGTAATTAGATCAGGTGAAGCATCCGTAGTCCACATCATATGCATATTATCTGGTCAGCCAAATATCATAGCTGTTTGCATTAGCTGTCTCAATGGGTGGCACAACCTAGCCTTGCAAGTGTCGAACAGTTAGTTCTGTCAACAATTTAATGGAGAAAACAATTCCAGGGAAAATACTCTTTTTAAGGGATCCATTTTTTTCCTACAAAACACAGCCCCTCACACTTGGTTATCACCTTGGTTATCTGTTGTATTTCTTTATTTCCAGCTGGTTAAAGGAAACTTGTGGTCAGTTGATAGAACGAGATTATGAGACATCTAGTAAAGTCTGGAGTGGAAGGCAAATGGTGACGCTCTTCCACACTATGGGAATAACAAATGCTTCATTCCCTTTCTTGCAGGTAAGAATGCAGGAAATTGCCTTGTACTACGTCTGTCCACATTCTCAGCAATGCTTCCGCTATGATTCACCTTGGTTTAAGGCAAAGTTATTCCTATCCCTACCTTGGAGGTCCCAGGTTTCCCCTGTTGGTCTCCCATCCAAGTGCTAACGAATCCAAAATCAGATATCCTTAGTGTTTTGAACTGAGACTACAATCTGGGAGTTGCAGAAAAAAACAAAATAGAACATTCCTAGCTGTAGTTTCTTTTAGTCTGCAAATTCTCCAGTTTTGGATGATGTGGTGGAAAAAACACCCAAAAAATGTACATCCATTTATGTATTTATTTACCACACTTGTACAGTTATTATTTTTTTCCCACTTCAAAGGGGACTCAGAGCAGCCTTACGAAGGCAACTGTTCGATGCCACGCATATACATATCGATAAATAAACAAATGCATTAAAATTTAACAGTGGAAGCCTTTTTAAATTATGGATCTACTATCTGTTCCTTTGGTGTTCTCTAGCGACATTTAGCTGCTGTTCTGGAAAAAGAAGAAAAAGTACCCCTTTTCCATGGAGGAGAAGAAGTAATTTCTATTCCGGTTATCAGCCCTCCGACTCAGATCGTCCTTAAAGGCCTATTCATGGTGTTGCAGTATCTTTTCCGAGAGAACTACAGGTCAGTGAAGCAGCCTCCCTCTGTCCTCAATGATTATATGCACACATTCATGTTGCAAGTATATTTCAGGCCTTTGATCAAAGAGTTGTGTTTGTTTTAGGTTTGCGGATGACTACAGAGTTGCTTTGCAGCAAACCTACGCCTGGACAAATGTGACTCCGGCGGATGCTCCAGATGCAAAAGGGTTTTTTGCCCGACTGAAAAGGAAGTCGCGACACAAAGTGCCAGTGCATAATCTCAACTTCTGGTGCTTGAATCCAGCTGTGGTAAGATGACCTGTGGGACCAATATGGTTGCTGTTGGGGCCAATAGCTATACAGAAATATTGGAGTCCCACTGATTTGTTTGTTCGTCCTGTAATGTCCGGAAGGTTCTGTGTTTCTCCTAGATCTCATGGTGGTTTTGGGGGAAGTTCTTCAAGTTTTCGTTTGCAACATCCTTGGCTATTGCATCCCTGTTTACTTACCGTATATATTTGAGTGTAAGCTAAGTTTTTCAGCCCTTTTTTAAGGCTGAAAAAGCCCCCCTCAGTTTATACCCAGGTCAAAGTTATTTATTATTTTACTCTGTTATTATTATTATTATTTTGATTACATTTATTATTTTACTCTATTCATTATTATTATTAGTAGTAGTAGTAGTTATTTTTCTCTGTTATTATTACATTTATGATTTTACTCTATTTGTTATTCTTATTATAACATTTATGATTTTACTATATTATTATTACATTTATTATTTTACTCTTATTTATTATTGTTATATTTTTTACTCTATTATTATTACATTTACATTATTTTTCTCTAGTATTATTACATTTATTATTTTACTCTATTTGTTATTCTTATTATAACATTTATTATTTTACTCTATTATTATTACATACATTATTTTACTCTTATTTATTATTGTTATATTTTTTACTCTATTATTACATTTACATTATTTTACTCTATTATTATTACATTTATTATTTTACTTTATTATTGTTATTATTATTATATTTATTATTTTACTCTATTATTATATTTATTATTTTATGTTATTAATATTGTTATTATTACTTTTATTATTTTACTCTATTATTACTGTCATTATTACATTTCCATTATTTTACTCTATTATTATTATTATTATTGTTGTTGTTACATTTATTTTACTCTCATTATTATTATTGGAAGGATACGTAAGCACATTTACATTGAAGGTTAGATAATGGTTTCATCAGAGTTGGACAGTCTTATCTTAAATTACAGTTTTATGTAAATATTCAAAAACATTGAACCTACGGATGCCTCAATTCATGTAGTTTTATTGATATCTATTTTTATTTTGAAATTGGCCATCAGCTGCTGCATTTCTCACCCTCGGTTTAGACTCGAGTCAAAACACTTTTCCAGTTTTTTGGGGGTAAAATTAGGTGCCTCGGCTTATATTCGGGTCAGCTTATACTTGAGTATATACGGGGTATTCTTTTTAGTTGGAAGTAGTGAGGATCTGAACTAGAACCTTCCTTGTACATGAAAGAAAGGAACAGTTGTATCCAATGGATACCAATATGGTGCCAAGTTGTTGTTTTTTGGCACATGATAAAGACAAATGCAGGTTCCTCCACTTCCAATGGCTTAAGAAGTATTGATGTAAATGATTTGTGATTGGGTGTCTTGCAATCTCCTTTTAGCCGTATAAACAGGCATCTTTAAGAGTTGAATGAGGCTCTTCATTCTCCGCAGGCCTTCTCTGACTTGAGTGGAAATGTGAGATCCATTGTTTTAACCTCCGGGACCCTTTCTCCAATGGATTCCTTTTCTTCTGAGCTTGGTGTGAAGTTTTCCATTCAGCTTGAAGCAAACCATGTCATTCAGAACTCACAGGTATGGCTGTTTCCTTCATGGGCGGATTTACCTTTGTGATCAAGAGTGATATATAGAGCCAAGATTCTACTATAATATAGTTTTATGAGGCTGTTTCTTTTGTGAAATATAAATCTCCATAACCTTTTGGAAAACGGCATTCATAACCTTTTGGAATAACCAAAGAATCTTTTGGAAAGGCATGGCCTTGTTAGAAATCATAACTTTTTGTAAAGTATAATTTTGAGAAGAGTAAAAAACTTGCTTGAGTTAACATTTTCCTTAGTGGTAAATATCCACTCGTATTCATGCCAGGCAGTTAGGTTTCTCAGCTGTTAGACTGATATACCTAGGTATCTTTTTCATAGAATCATAGAATCATAGAATCAAAGAGTTGGAAGAGACCTCATGGGCCATCCAGTCCAACCCCCTGCCAAGAAGCAGGAATATTGCATTCAAATCACCCCTGACAGATGGCCATCCAGCCTCTGTTTAAAAGCTTCCAAAGAAGGAGCCTCCACCACACTCTGGGGCAGAGAGTTCCACTGCTGAACTGTTTTGATCTGTTAGGAACTGTAATTCATATTGTAGTCAGGAGACGCAATGGGTTAAACCCTTGTGCCGGCTGAACTGCTGACCTGAAGGTCGGTGGTTTGAATCTGGGGAGTGGGGTGAGCCCCCATCTATCAGTTCCAGCTTCTCTTGTGGAGACATAAGAGAAGCCTCCCACAGGATGGTAGAACATCTGGGCGTTCCCTGGGCAATGTCCTTGCAGTCGGCCAATTCTCTCACAACAGAAGCAACTTGCAGTTTCTCAAGTCACACAAAAAAAGTGCAAAATCAATGTGAATGTTCACTTCCTAAATGCAGACTGCTGTCTTGTTAAATTGTCTTAAATGATAGCAAGCGTCAAATACAGATTCTTTCAACAATACTCAGATATCGTAATAGAATTCCATGTTAGGAAAACAGTGAAAATTGTTGGTAGATGCCTACTGTAGAGTCTCGGAGGAAAAAGTCAGGTATTCGGAAATAAATAAATAAACAACTGGACCAGAGCCAATATCTGTGTTTGCAGAAGGATATTTTTAGACTCCTAGCTAAATAGACGGTGTCCTGTTTTGTGCACAAGGAGGCCGATGGGCTGTTCCCTTCAGACTGCAGCTGGAGGTGTCGTTTTTTGGATGCTCCCCTCCAGAAACCAAATACCCCCTCACTCTTACAAGTAAATGATTGTTGAATATGGTTCTCTAGGCACAGTCCAATCTGTCAGCTTCTTTGCCTTCACGTGTTTATGCGACATAATTCTGTCCCTTGATATAAAATCGTAAAGTGGTCGCTCCCTAAGTTTTGTACAGTCTCAAAGCCACGGAAGCCTTTCACATCAGGCTACTATTCACTTTTTTCACACACCTTTCTTTCTCCTTCAGACTTTTCTTACAAGATCTCAGTGTGTTTGGTAACCCTGATAACATCCAGATACATTATATGATTTCATAAGGTCTTTGGTCTTCAAAGCTGGTTTTGAATCTGGCTTTGTATTTGAATCTCTTGTAAAATGTCATTTAAAATTCGGTTTTCTTTTTTTTTTTTTTGGAATAAATTTTTATTGATTTTGCAATAAGAAAATATATTCAACAGACAAACATAACCATAAATATCCACATTTATAAAACTATCAACATAGTACAATTTCAGTATTATATATTACTATATTGTACTATACCATTATATTGTAATATTATTAGTAATATTACATGTAATATAAAATATATAATTATAATATTGTATTATTCCTTCCATTACATTATAATATTATAAATATGATATGTATATACAATATATTATATTATTAGTAAAGCACAGGAGACAATGTATTATTATTATTATTCTATTGTATTACATTATAATATTATATACAATATTTTATATTATATTATTAGTAAAGCACAGGAGACAAGATGGAACTGACTTGTTATACTAGTGGACAGAAAATACGGGGTGAAAAATCAGGCTGTCCACTTTCCAGCTCCTGTTCATCGAAAGGCAGTGAGAGTAGTAGGTCTGACAGCCTATTCGCCTGGAAGGAATTGCTGGTTGCCCTCAGGGATTGCTTGAATATCTGATACTGGGCTGCTCTTCCTCATAAATACATTGATTTAATTCACCCATGGATTTTAGAATGAACATTTCTAATAATCTAATTTACTATATTCTCTTCCTCTATATCTCTCAACCTTCCTAATGCTGCGACCCCTGAATACTGTTCCTCATGTTGTGGTGACCCAAAACCATAAAATTATTTTTGTAACTACTTCAAAACTGTAATTTGGCTGCTGTTATGAGTCGTCATGTAAATATCTTATATGCAGGATGTATTTTCATTCACTGGACCAAATACCTGATAAGCTCAAATTTGAATACTGGTGGGGTTGAAGGGGCATTTGATTTGGGAGTTGTAGATGCTGGGATTTATAGTTCACCTACAATCAAAGAGCATTCTGAACTCCACCAACAATAGAAGTGAACCAAACTTGGCACACAGAATTCCCATGACCAACAGAAAATATTGAAAGGGTTTGGTGGGCATTGACCTTGAGTTTTGGAGTTGTAGTTCACCTACATCCAGAGAGCACTGTGGACTTAAACAATGATAAATCTGGACCAAAACTTGGCATGAATACTCAAGAGGCCTGAATGCGAACACTGGTGGAGTTTGGGGAAAATAGACCATGACATTTGGGAGTTGTAGTTGCTGGGATTTATAGTTCACCTCTAATCAAAGAGCATTGTGCACACCACCAACGATAGAATTGGACCAAACTTCTTACATAGATCTCCCATGACCAACAGAAAAGTGTTTTCTGATGGTCTTTGGCAACCCCTCTGATACCCCCTCATGACCCTCAGTTCACCTACAATCAAAGAGCATTCTGAGCCCCACCAATGATAGAATTGGGCCAAACTTCCCTCACAGAAGCCCCATGACCAACAGAAAACACTGTCTTTGGTGACCCCTCTGACATCCCCTCGCAACCCCTTCAGGGTCCCGACCCCCAGGTTGAGAAACACTGCCTTAAGTCTTCAACTCCAGTTGTTTTGATCCCTCTTCCCTGTAGTAAGTCCAGTAACAAAACTTCTCCCCTCCACAGGTATGGGTCGGTACCGTCGGAGCTGGTCCCAAAGGCAGGTCTTTATGCGCCACTTTCCAGCACACAGAAACCTTTGAATTCCAGGACGAAGTGGGAGAGCTTCTGCTTTCGGTTTGCCAGACCATCAGCCATGGCGTTTTATGCTTTTTGCCATCATACAAGGTAAAGATTCATCTGCTAGAGATACTCACTGTCCATCCGTCTGTCCATAAAAAAACCTGTTTGATTATTATTATCGGAGTTTTCTGCTCTGGCTTTTTCTTTTCCTCATCTGTTTATACCAAGTAATTGGAGAATGCTTAGAGATATAGAAATTACTTTAAAAGAAAACACCAATTATTTGTTTATTTATGTTTGTACTGCATTTTGCCCCCGCTTTATCTCAACCCTGGAGGAGATGCAGAGTGGCTTCCAAATTGGCAATATTCAATGCCGCATTAAACATAAAACATACGAACGGTTCCGGCCCAGCTTACCTATCTGAATGTATCTCCACCTATGAACCACTTTGGAGATTAAGATCTTCTCGGTCCCGCCTCCTTTGCATGTTCGACTGGTGGGAACGAGAGACAGGGCCTTCTCAGTGGTGGCCCCTTGGCTGTGGAACTCCCAGAGCAGCCCATTCCCTCCTGGCCTTCAGAAGGAAAGTAAAAACCTGGCTTTGGAATCAAGCCTATGGAGATTTAACTATAGCCCAATGACATCTATGGAATATGTGCAATGATTGTTGGAACAGACCCGGATTACGATTGAGGACGTAAGGTAAAAGTAAAGGTTTTCCCCTGACACTAAGTCCAGTCGTGTCCAACTCTGGGAGTTGGTGCTCATCTTTATCTCTAAGCCAAAGAGCCAGTGTTGTCCATGGACACCTCCAAGGTCATGTGGCCAGCATGACTGCACAGAGCACAGTTACCTTCCCACCAGAGTGGTACCTATTGATCTACTCACATTTGCATGTTTTTGAACTGCTAGGTTGGCAGAATCTGGGACTAATAGCAGGAGCTCACTCTACTCCCTGGGTTTGAACTGCTGACCTTTCGATCAGCAAGTTCAGCAGCTCAGCGGTTTAACCTGCTGCACCACTTGATTAACGTATCACAAATCACAGAGTACCACTGCATATAAAAAATCTGTATTTTTTGTTTTTGTTTTTTTTCCCCAAAGTTTTATTGTTGAAAAAATTCTTTAATAGAAATCTATATTTTAAAAAAACCTGTATAAAGCAAAACTATAGAGCCCTTTACGGATTTGAGAAACAAAATGTTGAGTTGGCCTGGGAACGAATTGAGAGCCCAGAACATTCAGAAATCACCAGAGTATAGTTATTTATTTCGTATCAAATAGTATAGAACTCATAAAAATAGAAGGAGCGCAGGCGGCTAAATATCCTTTGGCCAAAAACGGACAACAGCAACGGCATTGTCTGTAGCCTCCAACAATTCTTCCTCTGTACATGAGGCAGGGCATAGTGGACAAGCATACAGATGCAGAGTTGTCTGTTCTGCTCCACAGTCACCGGAGTATAGTAATAGATTATTTTTTCAAAATTTCAAAATATGAGGTTGGCACTTACCTTTTACCTCTTTGATGCACAAGAGAAGCCATCTTCGTTTGGCCTTTGTTGCCGGACATATCAAACACTCATCCAGATATGAAAATGTCTTGCTCACTCTCAAGGATATTTTAAAATTTAGGTGCGATGTGTAGCGATGGTGCTCTGAAAGTGGTGACTATAACTCTTGCTTTAAATCTGTTTGGCGTCAGACCAGCTTTGTTAGTCATGGGCTTTCCCTTTGTTCTCATGGAAGCATATAATCCCTCAGATTTCTTCTTTTGCCATGATCTCATGTGGTTCTTGCTTGTGTCAAGAGTTGGTCAGCTCTTCATCCTTCTTGCGTCCTAGCACGAAAAATAAAGGAGGCCTTGCAGTTACTGAGAATGACCATTAGGTGACCACCTTGGACTGTAGAATTAAAAAATGGCTAGCAAAAGAAGGGACCTGCTGCATACATAGCAAGTCTCCACTGAACTTGGATATTTATTGGATACCTCGGAATTTGGGCCTGGGATTTCCCCCAAGTGTTTTATTTCACATGCAGAGGAATCCTGTAACACACTTGAGACACAGAGAGAAAAGTTGGAAGCATATTTTTTTGTAAACTCAGATGGTTGTTGTCAAAGGCTTTCATGGCCGGAATCACCGCATTTCTGTGAGTCTTCAGAGCTGTCTGGCCATGTTCCAGAAGCATTCTCTCCTGATGTTTCACGCACATCTATGGCAGGCATCCTCAGAGGTTTTGAGGTCTGTTGGAAACTAGGCAAGTGGGGTTTATATATCTG